CACAGCCCAGGATGAGAGCCTCCTGCAGATGGAGCTGCTGAAGCAGAAACACTATGTCTCAGGCAATTCAGCCACCATTGAGCCCCATCCCCAGCAGCCAGGGTGTTCATGGGGTGTGTTTCCTTCCTTAACTTTTGTTTACTAGGGATGAATAGGCCCTGATTTTTCATGCCAGTGGCACAACAGAACTGTTTCTAAATCATATTTTCTTTACTGATTTTCCCCGACAGCACCTGTTAAGAAGACTGGGAAGGCTGGAAGAAGCCAGAGACACCTCAAAGGCATGACATTCTACACTCCAGATTCAAGGCCTCTTCAGAAAATGCTACCTCTTTTCAGCTTTGAACTCACTAGTGATGCAAATATCAACCTACCATCAGGCAATCCAGCCACAATGTCATGCATATCTGTTGGCTCACTATCCCCAGAGAAAAGTTTGTATCAGAAATAAGTCTACTCTTCCCTGCCTCACTTGAGATGGCTTGAGTTGAGTTCCCTGTCATGACTTGTAACAGATAAACTTTGCTTTTGCATTCTGGTATGCTTGTCCTTGGTGGTCTCTCTGGGGGTTACGATCTGGGCACAACATTTGGTGCTCATTCCGGGATCCCCAGAGACCCCCCGCCGGGACCCCTAAGAGCTCCAGAGGTCCATGTGCACCGATCGGTAAGAGCGCTCTCTGTCTTATGTCTGTCCTGTATATGTCTCTCTCTTGTTACTTTAGTTTTGTACTGGTCGACCGATTTGTACTTTTACAGACACCGATTTGTACTTTTGCAGGCTCTCACTGGGACAGATGTGTCTGGACAGTGATCCTGAGAGGGGAAGAGGGACGCCTCCTTCCCTGATTTGGGCGAGGACCCCCTGGTCCTGAGCCATTTGGGCAAGGGACCCTCTGGTCCTGAGCCATTTGAGGCCACCTCAGAGGTGACCATTTGGTTTGGGTATCTCCCCCGGCCCCAGGAGGGAGTGCCGACTTGTACTTTGTCCTGGGAAATTGTTGGTGTCTTTTTGTATCTTGTTTTGATTGTGGCTTTGTTGTTTTCTCTCTTTGTTGGTTTTCATTGAAGACTTTCTCACCCCTAGACTTAACCAGCCACTGCTGCTTCAGAGACCCAGGGTGCCACTGAGAGGGCAAGGCAGTCTGTGAACATCACAGGGCCTAGATGCAGCGGGTTCGGGTTGGGGGGGGCAGCTTGCTCAGAGAGCTGTAAAATAGAGGCAGCCAGGCTGGCCCAGAGGCTGCATGGGAACTAGGCATGGCTGTGTGCTAGGGCAGGCTGGGAGCACTGTGGGGCCCAGATATTGCTGGCAGGTTCTGGCTGGGCTCCCAAAGCCAGCAGGAGCCTGGAGGAGCTCAGAATATGGGAGCTGGTAAAAAAAACTAACTGCCCCTCCAACCAGGACATGGAGTCACTTTCAGTCTGCCGTTCTCGTGTACTTAAAAAAAAATATATATATATATATATATATATATATATAAGATTAACAGAAATCCTTTGTTCCCATAGTGCACACCTTCTCCATCCCTCTTCCTCTTCCATGATGTGGTAGGGCTCCCAAGACCTGCCCTGGGGCAAAAACCTGATCAAGGTCTGCCTCCAAGAATGGAATGTCACTGCCTATGATTGATAAGCTACCATGGCTATGTTATAAGTTTAACCAACAGTTTCTTTTGTTTATGGTACAGTGCTGATGCAAATTTAGAGTTATTCTTGTTATGGTATATGCATGTATTTCTGTTCTTGTTTAAAATATTGCAACTTTACAATATATTCTAGATTAATAAAGAAAATCACAAAAAAAGATTTTGGTAAGAGTTTCTGTTTTTTTAAAGAAAAAAGTGAAATTTGTCTAGAATAAATGTCTAAAGGATCAAAGA